GCTATATGGATAGTGTGATTAACCATGGCTTTTACTACGACACGGTATGAGTGAGGTTCAACTGTCCAGCACGATCGAGAAATACTACATCGTTACGTACCTTTGAAGACCCCTTTACGGGTTTCGGGCTCATTTATTCAGCAAAGTGGGTCGCAGATGCAGTCCTTAATGAATTGAATCTGTGCGCGGTAGTATTTGCGGCCCGTGGTGTCGCCACTGTCTCCGACGCATCCGATATAGACTTGCTTTTGACAAGTTGCCTGGCTTCGAAAAGCCTTGTGCGATCAGGACCGTGGGCCCTGATGGATAAGCATTCAAACTTTACACGACAGAAGAATCGGTCCTCATCTAGCAGAAAATCAGAATAATCGGGTTCTATGGTGTATTTGATAACCGCAGCGCTTTGACAGCTAAATACAACATTCAATAGACGGACAGCTCCACGCGGAGCCGGCCACGCCTTGATATGATCAAGGCTGTACACATGTGCATTATCAGAATGGAAGATTCCCTGTTTACAGGATAAAATTACGGTCGGGTGCGAGGCCGGAAGTCGCACACGGCGCGGGAGGACAGACGAAGGATAGGGATTCGAACGGATCAGCCAACCGGGCGCTTGCTTCGGCATTGACCGACTGTGGATATCCAAATACTCTAATTCCTCCTCATTCCTCGGTCATATCTACCGCGAAGTTGCGTCCAACGGTTCCTCTTTGCTTATGCGAACGACGACTGATTATTGAGTGTCTTAACAGCCACCAAAAATTACCAGACCGCTGCTGCAGCCTCTATGAGAGGACGGCGACGGCAGATCTTCCATGATGTATACCATTTACAAAGTTTGTGGGGTAAGAATGCTCTGAGAAAACCTCGAGCCTATCTCAGCTATTTGTCCAAAGAGTATTCAAAACAGGGTTCTGAATGACTCAACTTCAATCATATGTAAACCATCCGAGGAAGGGCCGGCGGTCTACTTACTGGAAGCACACACTTTCATATGATGCGATATAGATCGGATATCGTAGCGTGTTAGGGTCCTTAGTGCTGAATTTCCGCACTCAGTAGTAAGAAATAAACCCAAAATGGAAGACCAAACGTAAAAATACTTACATTCAACGCATCAGAATCGTCATTACAACATTCCATCGGGATATGGTGCGCAGACGTTCCGCTTGAATTGTCAACCTGCTGGAATCTCCATTAAGGAATGATGATATTCCCAGATGAGGCGACGACTTCCGAATCAAGATCCGGCTGCAATATCAAAAACAATGGAGATGAGTGGATTACATTTTCGGTGTTCTAGTGCGCACTGAAGATATAATCCTAACTTAGTCATGACAGCGCAAAATAGAAGAATTTCTCTTTCTCAGTGGCATACGACTCACCGCTGACATCGTTATTAAGCATGTCAAAATGGTATGTCACTTGGTCTATCATAGGTGTAAGGATTACCTCTGGTGCAGTATGATCTAGTAGATGCCAAGACCTCCGAGGAGGAGGAATACAGTTGATTTTTTGCATCATCAGCGCGTTATGGCCACCAAATACAGGTTATCTTCTCGAATCAGATTCAATTCCTCTGGATTTTTAACACGTATTTGTCGAGCTGCATATCGTGGCACATGCCGGAGTCCGATAGTCACGTCAAATTATCACTGTTCTTCGAAGCCATGCGGCGACCCGCGAACTTGTCAACCTATTCAGCTGAGGAACATTGAGATTCTGGCACAGCTCAGAGCGTCGACCTTCACCATTCGTCGTTCAAGGAACCACGTCCGCTTGGAGTTTACAGTTATTCCCATGTGCGAGATATATCTCTTGATTGTGCGTAGACAAATGTTATTCGTGCCACCGCAGGGTCAGTACAGCAATGACCTACTGATTTCCTCGTCACACTCTGTCGATACTGCACTCGGATTTATACCTAGACTTTGTCCAAACTGAGATGCCTGATCAGGAATGCCTGATTGGGTCAATGCACACTGCGGTACGAGGCGCGTTTGAAAGTAAACCATGTTATGGTAAATTCACGGCCACACAAAATGCACGTCTGTAGTATATACAGCAGGGCACTGACAACATCCATGAATTTTGGACTCTGTTCTCTAATTATTCTCCTACAGTTCCTTTATGTGTGTTCCAATTTGGGATCAGCTGATAGGTCAATATTACAGGTTAGGAGACCTACGCATCGTTCCTGTAGTATGCGACTAGTCGTAAAAAATGCTCATGGACATGCGATGTCTACGAATTAGGTTAAGATCAAAGGTGAAATTCTTCCAAATTAAACCAGATGTACTTACCGACTGTAGTATCGTCAGAATCGACACATGCTGCGTTGGATTTCATCGCAAGCGCAGCAACAAAGACGAAGATAGTAAGAATGGATTTGAAGAATGACATGGTGTGTTGTGAATACTATGAGACTGGGGTGCTGCTCACCTATCACTCAGTATTTATACAGCCCTCCACTAAATCACATGAATCTTTCCCGTGATTCTGAATGCGACGGCGTGGTGACAACGAACTGACTTTCCGATGAAAGTGTACTGCTTCTCCTGCAACAACTCTCCAGGTGTATTCGTGACAAAGGATACTGTTCAGAACATTAGGTTTGGAGGAGCATGCAAACCAGGCCGTGGAATAAAGACAATTGACATGCATTTCTATCAGATGTAGTCTGATATTGTGACAGCGGGACATACATGCCTGTTTCGTAATGAAGAATGAGCACAAGAAATCAAGCATGATCTGGAAATAACATATTGTCGCAGACCAATTAGAGGAAAGCTTTTGGAAACCTCCTTGTAACAAGTATTCATACGTTTTGGGCTTATGTATTCAGTAATTTGGGCTGCAGACGTAGTACTTCATGGGCTGATTCTGGGCGTGGTAGTATATGTGATCCGCGGTATCGCCGCTTCTTCGGTACGTTCGATATGGGCTTGCTTTTGATGCAACCGCGATTAGATGTCTAACTTCTTGAAACGTTGTGCGATAAAGATTATAGGTCTCGATAGATACTTAAGTGGGGTTCAAAGTCTGCACGACCAAACAATCATTCCTCCTCTTGCAGACGATCAGAATAATCACCGTTATACAGTACTTGTTCTCTACTCATGCATGCTCTCATAGCAGGTATGGGTTCTCTCTTCGTTTTTTTAGCACGCATAGTACATATATTCCGGAAATAAAATTGAAGCAAGACTAATTGAAACGAGACTAATTGAATCAATGACACTTAGAATCAGACGGACAAAGTTCGATGTTGGTGGGAGTTATCAGGAGAATTCGCAACACATGCTACTGCGGACTTTGATACTAGTACGCGCGGCTGATTGGAGGAAGAAGGACTTGGCCCAGAATCCGAATTTCTCATAGCTGAATTGACAGAGAAACTCATCTGTGACAAACGGTGATATTTCCACAGAACCGCCGACTCCAATGTTCTCCACATACGCATGAGCATTTGAGTGGGTGACGTGATATTCCATTCTATCAGTTATGTTTCCATTGTGGAGAAAATGAACACGAACACCTATCAGCATATTCTGTGACCGCAACAAGTTGATGACTATACAATACCGGAGACCTTAGACGCGGATGCCTCTGGTACTCATGTCTTGGAATACTATCTACTGTACTACATTTTGCACATGCGTCCACCATCAATAAACGGAAGCTCGCTGCTCACTGTTCAGCTCCGAAGTCACTCATGTGCTCAATATTAGGATGACTTGCCCCAAATGTAAGTGAGCAGTGCCCACTTACATTGGGGGCATATCTATGCATCATCAGAGGGCGATACGCTTACTCACTCTTACAGACCGGACTATAGGTTGAATATTCTATTCAGATACGGCGATAATATTGACATATCGATGTTGCAGAGTCACGAAATTCGGGGATGCTATTAATCTCCTGAGCTCAGGCACATAGTCACCTAGGTGTCGTGATGATTCGTATTCCACATCCCCTACGCAATCTGCCGCGTCAAGTCAGCCCAAGAGTAACGATTGGGGACCATCGTTCCCAACTGTTCACCCAGAATGTCCTAACAAGATGTCTCCGAGTCGTGTTTGGTGGCACGTTCTGCCTGCATCATGGCCTGTTTCATCCTCATCTTTCTCCTCGCATCGTTTTACTCCGCCAATCAAGCTCGGCTGTCTAGATTGGAACGTAAGGGTAAGCCCGCGCAAGGCATCAGAGATGGTAGGCATTCCGGCTCAGTCTTCTTGCTCAGCTTAAACAGCACGGTCTGATGTATCCGCAACCAGAGCCCCTGAAGTTTTCACCCTCGCTTACAGAGCAAATCAGTACCCATACCGGGCATACCGAGAATCCACCAGCACAATACGTCAGAGGGTGCTGAGGAATGAGCAAGATTCATCCCCGCCGGTTGCCACCTCGTCTATCTCGATGACGATGATAATTCTCCTGTCACAGCCACGCGCATACACAGTCACACTTTGTCACCAGCTCAAGTGTCTCGACGTGATACGTGCGCAGTATGCTGAACCACAGGCTTGCGCCACGCCGCTGTTGCGGCATTGCATGAATTACCTCCGACAGTCTATTCTGTGGAGACAGAGCCTGCGAATCGAATCTGCGAAGAATCCAGTCGGTACGGCGATCAGGAGTTATGACGCTGTGTGTCGCGACTGAACCAAGGTGTGTGAGGAGGCACAGAGGAATCACGAGCGATATGCGGCCAGGATGAGATCGGCGGCTGGCCAGGAATGAGAAGCCTGATAGTATCTCGAGTATTCTTTCTCAAAGTCAAGGTATCCGATATTATTCCCGCCATTCGACTCCCCCCCCTTTTTTTTTACGAATTATTATGGTCATTCGAGCGCTGTAGCGACTATTTCGTTGTGGTCTACTTACGTGATATTCTTCCACGATGGCAACATTCGCGTGGCCACACACTCAAGGTCGGATCTTTGGTCAGCTAGGCGCAGCGGTTCACGTATCCTGTAGAAGACACGTACGAATGATTGGAAAACACGATCGTTGCCAGCAGTGTGGATTCGGGGCCCATCCCGTAGGCGCGAGGCTTGTGTGATGACGGGCATCACAGAACACCAGATGCAAGAATATAACGGAATTCAACAGGTATCTCGAACGTCGGAGATACTACGTTTTATGTGATAATAAGTCCTGCGCGAGGCACACGAATCATTATCATCGTCGATATAAGGCTAGGCTCTTCTAAGATACTCATGTCGCAAACCAGAAACTTACGGAGACAGGCTTAATTGGCGGACGCCAAGCGCACTTGCCAAATCGACATTGTTGATTTGTTAATTAGAACACAATTTATCAGCGCTCCTGACATCGCCCATGTGAATGTGCTGCACAGTATGAAGTGAATAGCGTCTGGTTGCAGTTGGCTGTACAGGTCATGACACAAGCCTTCTATTCGTGTCTTCTCGAAACGACCCGTTGATGGCAATGCCGTCGAAGATAGAGCTGCAGCAAGACGAGAGCATACGTACACTGCAGAGCTACCATTCTTCTCAGTCTTTCGTGAAGCACATTTACACACCAGATCACTCAGCAAATCCTCAAATTCGGCTTCAGACATAACAGAAAGCATGGGACATATTGCCTTCATGATCATCTACAATGGCGAGACTTGCCTTGGTACAAGGACTTCGGCGATCTCTAGCAGGCGTGCGCACTCTTGTCGCAGTCCACGGAGGAATAAGACTGTCCCCTTATGATATGTCTCTCCATGCGAACCTCGCCACATCTACAGAGAAAAAATCGAGAAGCCTGAGGAGGACAAGGCGTCTCCAGAAAGGGACACCGCGCATACAGAGCATAGAACACGGATGCTTCGCACACCAGCTCTGAATAGAGGGTATGTTCCGCGTCCATTCCCCTCGTCCTGAAATAATAGACGCGATATGATGCACGACTCGCCGCATCCTGAGCTTTCTCAATGAGCCGGCTATTTGGGGGCACTGGCGGCTTCGGCAAGAATACGGCGGGTTGCTGATCTGGGAGCTGTGTCGTGGAGCGTTTAGACACCGGGGGATCACAAAAAAGACCTACGAGAAATATATTTTTAAAAATATGTAGTGGATTCCAATCCATCCTCCTCCTCAGGTTCCTCCTCGAAATCAGACGTTCAGGTGCAATTTCAGATCTTGATATTTTGCTGATGTTGTGCTCGTTGAATTTTTACTCGCCAAGTATAACACATGAAATACAGTGTTCGCGCCCAAAGTGAGTGTCAAGATTAGGGCCATGTTCCTAGATTCTCTTCACTGCTGAAAGCGGTTCTGCACCACGCATTCCCGACTGTCCCAACTTACCCGCGGACGCCTTCAAGTTGCTTCTCAAAGTGTACTCGCGTTTCGCACACAATATATTGGCTCGACTCAACTCGCTTCTTCTCCTGTAGTTTTTCAGGCTGGCCTGTTTTCTGATTTCCATGCTTCCGTGTGCACCAGGATGTTTGTACGTGCGTCTCAAACGAGTGTCGGCAGCTGTCTGCCGCGAGTCTCACGGCCAATTAGCGCGCGCGCGCGTTCGACCAGCTGTCTGGACTCTGCGCATTACTTGCCCTCTCACCGTCTCCAGCTCGGCGTTCCAACTCGTCTTGCCACATTCCAGTCGCCTGAGGGTTGAGAGCCTCTAGCTATATGCTCGGCACGTTCGCCTTTGTGGATATCGCGGCCGGCTATGCCTGCGGATCTCTTTCCTCGTCCACGCAACTACTAGGCGCCAAAGACGACTTTCTCTTTTCTTCCAGCTTGCGCATATTAATGTACAG